TCTTGATCAGAAAAGATGGCAAAGTCCCACGTCGCCTTGTCGTCGGGGGGTTCACACGTGAGAGTGCCACGGAGCAGGGAGATGATGAGGTCTGTCAGATTGAGGGAAATTAGATGCATCAAATCAAGGCCAAACCCACCAGGGACACCGAGGAATCGGGGCACCCCGCTGAAAAGGCTCGGTTTCGCGATGCCTGTTTCAAGGCGGAAACGCGCATACTCCGCTTTCGTCCGCGCGCCCTGCACGCGCGCGAGGTTCTCCTTGTAGCGCCGCTGCGCCGCAGAAGAATCGGCCAGGTTTGGGACCCGAAGCGACATATCGGGGGGGCCATCGTGATCGCCGCGCGGACGCAGGAGCGCGGGATAGTACGTGGGGTGGTTGAGTTTTCGACGGCCAACCTGTCCGCAGTACAGGCGGCAGCCCTGTCCGCCGTTGTGCCCCACTAGCCCGTTAAGATAGGCCATCGCAGGGGAGTCAGCAGTTGCAAGAAGCAGGTAGATAAAAGATTTGAATTGACGTTGTTGCGCGGCGTCCCAGATCTGGAGTCCTTCGCGCTGAAGTGCCGCGAGATGGTAGAGTCCGGGGAACAAGAATGAATCGATGTTGCGGGGCTTGTTGGGACCCCCGATGACCGCGCCAGGGAGCACGTAACGCTTCTTGTAGCGCAATGTAGGGGAGAGATCGAGGAGCACCCAGATGTAAAACCAGGTGTCAGATTGCTTCGAGGCGTAGAGCTGGGCACCATCTAAGGAGAACATGACAACCATATCATCACGACTGATGTCCCCAGCCGCGACAGCTCGAAGATAGTCGGCTCCATAATACAGGTCGTCGACCGCGGCAAAGGTGTCCGTACTGCCTTGGGCTTGTCGCGCCTGCACCTCGGCAAGGATGCGCTCCGTCGCGCGACAACGGTGGCGCATATCGAGTGCCGTGGATGGGGACGCCCAGAAGCTCTGTAGCTGCGGGCCTAGGGGGAACGTAAGGAATGTACGGCGTGGAACGCGCTTCATGCGATCCAGCCCGACAGCCTCGTAGCGCGGCTCCCGACAGGTAGGAATCGGGCACTCGAGAAGGTTCTCAAAAGGACCCGTGTATGCGACACACGAGTTAGGGCACATATCCGTCCGCACCGCATGAACCCCAGTGACCTGACCCACGAGCTTCTTGACCTGCTCGTAGGTCGGGATGGCTGGCCCCAGAGTCGACGAAGCCTCAAGGTAAGCCAGCATGGCAGCACGGACGTCGGTGTAGTTGTCCTCCGAGGCATCGCCACGGGCGAGATACATGCGCATACCGGCGAGCTGGCCAGCGTCGAGTTCAGGCAGCCGCATTCGAGGGTTTCGAAGCCTGCCCAGAGTGTCTCCGTCAAGGCCGGATGCATCCAAAGTCGCCCCTCCCAACGCGTCAACAAAGGATTGGGCGATGCGGAACTCCCTCCGGTGAGCGTCACGAGGGGCACCCTGATCCTCAGTACAGCCCACCTCGGGCTCCGAGTCAGATTCCGAACTCGACGAGTGGGCGTCGGTACGCTCCTCCGTCAGCGCACGTGGGCGAGGAGAGGGAGGAGAAGAAAATCGGTGTGGCGGGGATGCAGGACCTGAGGGAGAGGAGAAGCGTTGTCCCGGGCTAGTGCCTGCGTGAGGGGGAGCTTGTCCCCCGCGGGGATGAGTGCGCTCCTCGTCCGAAGATTCACTCGGGCTCTCCGAGGAGTCGCTCGAGTTCTCGTCGCCTCCTTGCGGCGGAGGGCGGGATGCGGCTTGTGACGAGCCCCGCGCGCTGCCCTGGACGCAACCCAATCAATATCAGGAATCGCGAACCACGAAATGTGACGTACCTGTCCATATTGTCCTCGTGTGCTTGATGCATGGACTATGGAGCGCGTAGACGGGGGGGGAGGGAGGCGCCCTATGATCGGGGTGTCCGTGTCGGGAGCTAGGTGGAGGATAAGCTCAGAGTCAGGCGTGGTGCGATGCCTGGCGTGTCTATTGAAAGTGCGTAGTGCGACGCTGCGTAGGGTGCCCCCACAATACCTTCGGCAGTCGCAAAGGTATTGGGTGATGGTATTGGGGGGCAAGTCGTCGGGCAAGAGCTGTCTGCTAGGAGGGGGAGGAGGCTCCATCTGCTCTGCGCGCTGCAATGAGGAGATGTGTTAGCCCCAACACATCGCCCGAGCCATGTTATATGTTTGCAAGAAATATATTGTTATCTAGACTACCGAACGCACCGTGCATGCCGCACGATGGCCAAGGGACCCCACTCCGAGTCGGACCATTTGCGGAAGAATGCGTGATGGTACGCTTGGATGGCGACAGGGAAGCCGTTTGCACCCGCTCAAAGGAACGAGCAGATATGACGGTGGAGGCCTGGGGAGTAAGATAACGGCGAGGAGACGGCTGAGGTACGCGGTCTTGCACTGCAGTACGTTCGGCAGAGCTGCTGGCCGAGCCTGTCGAATACGCCGACAGGCTCGTGTTCTGAGTGAGATTCGTTTTGCGCACGCGCCGTAGTGAGTTCACTGAATCTGAACTAATCAGGGTCACCCCCACGATGCGCTCTGTTCCGCACGTGTGCTCCGGTTGTTTCAGCCTTTGAGCAATCCGGGTCACCTGGTGGGATTGCTGGATCAGAGTGTTCGTCGTATACGGGTGTAGTATGGGAGATAGGAGAGACAAACGGAAAAACAGACCATACTGGCAAGTCTCCTGACATAGCGAGCGGGCTCATAAACCTCTTCCAGGACGTGTTATCACCATAGTGCCCTATCTTCGTCCGCACGATAAGGGTGATATGACCTAGGAACGTTGTCCGGCAAAGTCGCGATTGCAGCGAATGCGATGAATCAGCAAGCGAAGACACATATGACGAGTCCTGCCTTGCCCGAGATGGAATTGTCCAAGACGATCCGAAGATCCTTCTGTTGAGACGGTTTCAAGTGTGGGCCGTTGTGCTCATATACGTAGCAGATACCGTGCCAGTAGCCAAAGCGACCAGGACCATCACGACACATGTTTTGGACAACAAAGTATACATCAGTACATATTCTAGACAGAGGAAACGTCTGAAACATACACACAGCGAGCCGGACATACTGAGCACAGGCAGTTGCGCAGGCGTCCGGTAGCCTCAGCGGAAAGCGGTGGATGATCGATTCAACCGACTGACAGTTGTAAATGGATCGATACAGTCAGAGTGAACGATATATGTGCGACGCGTCAAATCGACGTCGAGCGACGTCGACCAGCCATTCTATATATAAAAACTGATCATCGATGAGTCAATTCAGGCCTAGATAGGCGCCGAGCTGTCATCGCGACAGCTGGAAAACGATGGCAAAAGACGGCAAACGCTGGCAAAAGCTACAAAACGTACGAAAAAGGGATGGTTTTCACTGGGCCTCAACCCCAGTGAAAACCCCGCCTATTGCCAAAGATTGCTGGCTGTTGCCGTCTGATGCCGTCTTTTCGGAGCGATTTAGATGACAGCTCGGCGTCTAAAATGGCTCGTTACATACATCGATTGGCTCGTTTTATATATACAATGGGCCGTTCTATATGTACAATGGGCCGTTTGACGTCGATCGATAGTATTAAACCGGTGTCCGATGTATATGTACTGTTCCATCCACATCTATCACATATATGCCTCCCTGTGTGCCGACCGACGGTTATCTCACCATATCCATTCTTGCCTGGCCTTCGATCTCGTCCCCAGCTCCTTCGTCCATGACGCCATTGGTGTTCGCGATGCTCTATATATAGTGGGCGAAAGCCGTCCTCCCATTGATGCACCCTTTCTTCCCTCCTCTCACCATCCCTTTCTGTCCTCGGTACTCTCAGCCACCGTGAGCCTCGCTAACAGGTAGGGTATCGCTGTCTGTACACGAAAAC